CTTATTGTATTAACTTATGATTTCAACATATAATTTATCTAAAATTATTTCTACATTAATTACCGAATCCAAGTACTCTCCGAGTATTCTCGAGTACTCGCTATTCGGTAGTTGGCCGAACAGGTACCGAATAACGAGTTCTACAAATTGAGTATAAGTGACGGAGATGTCAGTGGTAGGTTTCAAATGCGGACATAGGTGGTGGTAGTGGTGGTGGCAGTGACGATTGTGTTGGTGGGGAAGGTGGCGGAGGTGAAATGAACGGATGACACTACATAATCATTTATGATTATAAGTCACCCACCGCACAAGGAACGAACGACACTCCATATATAAGGGTACTATTATAATCATATCTATTATTATTTATAGTAAACTGTTAAATTATTTAATATCATTTTAAATAGGAAATTGGTTTTAATTCGTCTTCACCACCACTAGAAATAATCGATCAATTTATGGTGTTTCTCTACGCCTCTTTTCGGCTTCTCCATCTTTGTTTCTCAAATCGTCGGCAGCCATCCCTCTATTTCTCTAAACTCTTCGGCGAGCAAATGCACCCATACCTCCGGACACCCACATAAATAACCTCGTTGCCTGTTGCTCATGAAATAAAGTCGAGAATGAATAAGAGATGTTCACGAGGCATCAAAAATCTAAAGGAAGAAGATGAAGAGATTAATAGAACTTCAACCGATGTCATATTACTCAATCATTAAGGGCCATAATCGATCCAGTATTCTGTTAAAACTTCTTGTTAAATATCTTTGGAAGATTTATTTCTTTTGGTATATAATTGTTGATTTATTAATATGAATTTATGGTTTATTATATATGTTGTTGTTCTCAATCTTCAATTTCGTTGGTATTGATATGATCAAGAAGAACCAGTATTTCATTGTTTCTTTTATGAAATCACTATTTTCGTTCTTCAAAAAAAATTACTAAAATGAAAATGGGATGATAATCGACTAAATTTCTTCAACTTTTTCCGTTACTTATATATATTTCCAAAAAACATGTGATTATCTCTAAATTTTTTTCAATAAAAAAATGTAGCGTTAGATGTTCATGTCATTGCTCATAGTTTCCCCTTGAAGGGTTTTTTTTTTTTTTTTTTTTTTTTTTTTTTTTTTTTCATCCAATCTACAACGATTAAAGTAAAACTCACGGATATTATTTTCAATCATTCATCTCTTATATTAAAATCATTTATCATTTCAAAAAAAAAAAAAAAAAGATTTTGGTTGATCCCAGAATATATGAAACAAGCCAAAGCCAATTGTTAGTCATTCATTCTAAAATCTTATATAGAAGTAGGCTTAAAAAGAAAAAACAAAAACAAACTATAAAAAATGCTAGTCCTTAATGTGAGAATATTTTTTTTTAGAATTCGTTAAACTTAGAATGCTTATTCCGTTTTATTCTTTTAAGAATGTATTTGATAAATATTTGACATGTTGTCATAGATGTTCCTTATGGAATGCATCATTTTTTTTTATCATAGATGTTTCTCACAAAATGACTTTTATTTTTTTTCTTGGTCGTGAACAGGGGATTTTAGTTTGTTATTCTTAATGAATTTATCATAAAGGGCCTCAAGGTAATAGAGATAAATTGTGCATTAAGGAGAACATGATGATCAAATACCTAAAGGTTGGACGACGATGTGTGGGATGAAGATGAAAAATGATCATCTATATTCCAAAAAGAAAGAAATGTTTTTATCTTGTTCTTTTAGAATGTATCATCAGTTTGTTCTTTTTTTAATAAACCAAATTTATTCTTTTAGAATCCTCATCAATATATTATTATTTTTTCATGTAATTTATTTCAAGAATGCTTCTTTTATTTCATTCTTAAAGAATGCAAACTAGAAATTGATATTCTTTCCAAGATTTTTCAATCTTTTGATATAGAGTGGTTCATAAAATATGATTATTTGACATGTTATTAGGTTAAAGAAAGTTTTTGTGTAGGTTAAAGAAAGTTTTTGTGTATTACATTTTAAACTTTATTAGTTTATGATTAACATTCTTATAGAATATCATCGACAATAGTCTTATTCTATAATTGTGTTATTCTAACAGAATAAAATCGGTTATAATTAAAACTATATTAGAATTCGAATTCAATTAATCTTAAAATTCAGAATTTTAAAATTAAAAGATTATATTATTCCTTAAAATTCGAAATTTTCTTTTTTTAAATATAGTGTAATTGACTATAATACTCTTATGATGAAATTTGTGATATTATATGATATATGTTATTTTATTGTAATATCATAGGCTCTTAGATCATAACCACTCGTTTTATTCATCCATTGATCCAAAATTGTTCTTACGACCACACAATAGATGTTATCCACATTGTAACATATATATATATATATATATATATATATATATATATATATATATATATATATATATATATATATATATATATATATATATATATATATATATATCAATTAATAAGCGAATTATTTAACCTACAATGTTAGAGTACTACAAAAGCAAAAGTACGACGCTACTAAGAAAATCAAATTAAATTTAAACGAGACATTTTTTAAACTTTCAAGTCATTACAATCACGCGACAAATTTTTGGTTTCACCGAAAGAAAAAAAAAAGAACATGGTATCTAAAGTATAACGCTATAACAGAAAAAATGGTAAGATACTATAATTAACGAAAGGGAAAATGACAGATTAGCCCTATTTTGCGTTTGTCCATTATTTTCGAGCCTTTTGAGGGAACAAAATGCTTAGTGACTTGTTCATTTAATCGCCTTAACCTCTTTTAACCGGTTAATAGAATCACATAAGCAACTTACACCAGCTCACTTAAAACGTTTTGAACTTGAAGTCTACACATACATACTCACTCACTTGTGGGTTGGAAACGCACACTTACTTACGGGATTGCAACTCTTTTATATACTCAATTGCATCTCCAACTATGGAAGCTCTATCCATCTACTCAACATTTTTTTAGAGTAGTTATACACCAAAAACAAAATAAAAGCTCTTATTTTGGTCACACGAGCTAACCCAATAACAAATCCTACAACATTTTTCTAGCAAGTTAGGGGCTATATGATTACATATTTCCTTATGGTCTTGATCACTTATGCAACTTCATTTACCTTTTGACTTACCAGATATCGGTCCAAGCGATCAGATCGTTGACATAGTAACTAAATGTGACGAAACTTATATATCCAACAGTGGAATCCAGGTAACCTCACATTCTTCCTCGCTCAAACTAATTTTGTCATAAGTCTTGTTGGTGTTATGGCGGTTCTAGTTAACTTTACCACATGAGTCCTATTAAGACTTGAGATTTAGGTTAGGGGAGACGCTGATAGTTATCAACGAGAGGAATACGCATGGAGGCTTTATACATTGGTCAGTCAGGTCATTGCCACCCCTTAGTCTTCTCCGGTAGTGCCATCATTGGTCATACCCACTGCCTCCATGGGCGTTCGTCGTCCCCAGTGTCGCTATCACTGTTCATTGTCCCTCCACATTTTCATTTTTTTTATTTGTCACTTTCTTCTTTTCAAGTTGCGATTCGAGCATTCGCTTTCTTCTTTTGATCAAAAAAACTAAATACCCATAACAACTAATCCTAAATTGATGCCCCATTCCAAAATGATGCCATGAGCTCACCCTCCATGGTGGTGCTTTGAAGGGGAGTATACCAAATTTGGGTGAAAAGAATTAGGATTTATGTTTTGTACATGTGGATAAGAAATTTGTAGACTTTTGAAAGTCAACGTGTGTTAAGGGAAAAAGGGTTAAATCGTATCTATGTGGAAAATGGGTAACCGGGTTACCTCTTTAATTTATCCAAAGTGATCAATTCGACCTGACAAAAACACTTTGTTCCCTCAAAATGCCTAAAAATAACTTTAAGGACTGAATGAGTAAAATCATAATAACAGTAGGGTTAATGTGTCATTTTTCACTTAACAAAAATATGAAAGTATGTTGAATCATCAATTTTTAGTTTATGTGTCTTCATTGTAATCATCATAAACTTAGAAATTTCAATCTGAAATTGATGCAAAAATTAATTTCAGTTGTCTGCGTTTTTGAAGATTTTATCTTATTTATGATGTGAATGTGTTACATGATTGTTTGTTTAAAAAAAAATTGATTGTCATTTTCTCATTGCTTATTGGGTGTATATATATATATATATATATATATATATATATATATATATATATATATATATATATATATATATATATATATATATATATATATATATATATATATTTGGGAGCTAAGGGAGATGAAATAGTGGTGAACTGGTGATACCATTAATAGCGACAACTCAATCGTTGGTATTTACAGTGACATCATTAATGGCAACTCAATTGCATTACGGACTACTCATTTAGCAACTACGTCAATAACATCGATTTTCTAGCATTAGAGTCGGAACAACGGCAATGATTGTTTTAATGGCGGTATATGAGGGTATTAGCGGCGATAAGCAGTTGTTGCCTTGATTCCTTGTAGGGAGATTATTGTTGCTTGATCACTTAGAGTGTATTATTGGAAAAGATATTACGTGAAAAAAAAGATATGCTAACTTGTCCAAAGTGAACAAGTAATGTGTCTAAAGTAAATGTGAATACCTTATAGTGGATAATCGAGTCATAGTCATCATGCAATATATGTTCTATGTCTATATATCATTTGGAGTTTTGTTGGTTAATTATTAAACAAGACAAATAACATTTTTGGTTCGTTTCAAACCAAAAAAATAATGCTTTTTCAAAAAGAAAGAACATTAGAAACTGCTTAACAGGTAATAAAACTAGCTATGTCATAATGTCAACCGTCCAGATTACGAAGGAATTATTGTGTTATAAATTAAAGCTTATTCTTTGGCACAGACTGAGTTTATTTGATGGGACCATAACGAATTTATATACCAATTAATAAGATAAGATAAGGGTAGCGAACTGGCGCATGGTGTTTAATTTGTAGTTTTTTTTTTTATCCCTTTGGTGTTGTTTGGTTACAGATTAATCGCATAATTGTAATTGGCTCAATTTTTGCCTAGTTAGCAAATCCTTTTTGTTCATGTTAAAACCTAACACTTTGAGAAAGAAGAGATGGAAATATTATGGTTACAAGATTTCCCAAAAAGTGGAAATGAGAAAACCTTATCCACCTCCATATTTTCAAAACTATACTTTTGTGTTTCCACATCAATCTTCATTGCTAAACGTACATTCTGTTATTCAAAAGCAAACACAAGAGCAAATAAAAAGAAATTTCTTCTTTCTTCTTGAAAATCCTAAGGGGCCTGACCTTCAGTTTCGCTGTTGTATGTGTTCCTTACTTGTTGCTGATTACTACTGCCTTGTTTCTGCTTCTCCACTATTTCCACCATGGACGTTGAAGCTTTCTCCATTGACAACGACGTTGAGTTGCTCAGGGAACTACAGGTACCTATTGATTTTGGCCTGCTCAAAGTGGGTATTGCCAAAAATGTTGGCTTCGCTAATCCAGCCATGATTACTAGATATTTCTCTTCTAAAACTGGGGGCTCCTTGTTGTAATTATCAATTGTGGAGCCTTCATCACCATTTCCAGTCTCGAGGTCACTTTCACCATCAGTCCTATTTTCTGTGTAGTGCGAGAGGTTCCAGAAGGAGCAAACGAGGATGAAGACCGCAATTGCAATGAGAGCCATCATAGCAGCAAGGCCAGCAAAGAGGTAAGGCACTTGTGAGTGCCAAGATGATCGTTGAATAGCTACTAATGAGGACGTTGGCGACATTGAAAAAGCTGGTTCTACAGTCATTAACAATAATTGAAGGTGAATATAGGGGAATTGTAGAATATTCATGTTGTTTATATATATAGGGTATGACAGTATGACTTATGACGGATTGAACTTTAATACGTGCTATTTTAGGAGGTTATATAGATAAAAAAAAAATTGAGGAAATGTCAAAAATGGTTCCTATAGATTGTTTTAACATCTTTTTTTGGCTTGCGTCTAAAAGAAATCCTTTACACTTTTAGTCCATTTTCTATGTCTCATTTCCATTTAAATCTCATGTCATTAACTTTAATGGTCTAGCTGTTGAACTTAAAAAAAAGAACGTTTTTTCTATGGACAATATTCTAAAAACGCATACATCACAAGTACCAAATTCATATTTTACTCGTCATTTTAGGATTAAAGTGTTCTCTGATATATGGAATTATGGATATCTAATCTAGATATCTGATATTTAAAGTAGGGATTTCTTCTCGTATATAATTTATGTTTAACATTTATAAAATTTAAGATCGATAGCTCTGATGTTATCTAATCTAAATATGTTTTTATATGACTAATGTTTGAATTAGATAAATTATATAATGAAATCAACAATACATTTTTTAAATTTTGTACTATTATTATTATTATTAAAACTAAAATTAATCATTGTGTATATCTTTTATGGTATACTATATTATAAAAATATTAGTCATATTCTAAATTTTAAGAGGTACAAGTTACAAAGTTTGTTATACAAATCAATTATACATAAATAATTCATTAATACTTGTTAAAATTTTGAAGACTCGAATTAAGGAAAATAATTAAGAAATTCAATTTGGAGTAAAAACTTAAAATTTTAAAATATTAAATATATTTAAATTAATTTAAATTTCTTAAACAAATACCAATATTAATTAATTACATCAAGTAATAGTATAAACAAATAATATGAACATAAGATATAGACATAAATATATTATTTAAAAATGATAATTTATTATTATATATTAACCTAAATAAAATCTTAAAAAACTATTTGGTAATATAATAATTTATCATAACCGTTTTGCATGGACATAGATCTAGTTTTATTAGAACATATTAATTGTAAAATGGAAGGTATGCATCTAATTCCTACACTAAGCCCGAATTATGGCTATCCATCCCACTCATTCCATAATTTCCACATATCACAATTTATACAAACCATACTAGCCTATAACAACAAGAATATAGAGTTTTAGGAATGTCGCTTACAACAAGGCCTTTAGCAACAACACCAAACAAGCCACGCTTGGTGTCACCGCTAAAACGCAAATGTCGTCGTTAATAGAGTCGTCGCTAAAGGTATGGACTGGAGATCCGTCAAAGACACGTCACTTTCAATCATGACCCTTGGTTCAGAACATGATCCAACGGATAGGGTTTGTTCCTATGGAAGGCAATACAGACAATACCTTTAGCGGCGACATGTCGTCGCTATTGGTGTTGATCCGTTAACCCACATTGGACGCAATCTTGGCCCTACGATTCTTACCCGATCCAACGGTCAATAATCTCCAGAAAAGATGTGTTGAATTCCCTCCAGATTGTCACCGCTAATAGCCTCTAGGACACTGCTATTAGCGTCGCCACTAAAGGGTTACCCCTTTTGTTCAACTTCCTCACCCCAAACGACGTAAACTATGTCAACCCTCTCTAATGGTTCTCTCCGGCGACGATTTTCGACATCAACACTGACGCCGCTCCTCTCCATCGCCGATTAACCTCCAAAGCCGACTCCCACCGCCAATCAACCTCCAAAGCCGATTGCCATCGCCTGATGACTGCCACCTCCATTGCCAACTATCACCTTCGATTACGACCTGCTATCACCGGCAACGTACGTTTTCTCTACCCATTTCTCTTTCTCGTATTTTCTGGCAACCAATTACAATTGTGAATTGTTAATTTTTTTTTTTATGTTTTTTAGTTTTCGGTGTAAGGACACCACATTACCACCAATTGCAGCTTCGTTTTTCTAGTGAGCACAGGTCAGTTTTCTTTTTCACTTTTGAATATGTATTGTGTGCATGTGGATATCTTTATAATTGAATGAATTTATGAAAGCGATGTTGTTATGGACAATAAACAACTTTCCAACTCGTAATAGTTTATACGGTTGGAGCGGACAATGGTACAAAGCTTATTCGACTTGCAATGAAGACACTCTGTCATACCAAGTATCAAATAAAGTCGTATATGTTGGTCATCGCTGATTCTTAGATGCTAACCATCCATGGAGAAAAATTATGGACTATAATGGCAAACACGAGACAAGAGGCCCTCCAAGACAACGTAGTGAGGAAGAAATACAAGAACAACACGTTCGTCTATTGTTTCGTCCACCGGGTAAAGTACCTGCTCAACGAGCTGGTATTAAGAGAGATCACGAGGATTTCGAGTTGAATTGGTCTAAAAAGAGCATATTCTTTGAACTTGAGTATTGGTCTTCCCTGGAGCTGAATCACAACATCGATCTTATGCATATTGAAAAAATGTGGGAGAGAGTCTTCTGGGTAATTCTCTGATGAATGATAAGTCTAAAGATACTTGTCAAAGCTGAACATTCGGAAAAGTCAATGGTTGAAAAAGAGTGACAACGAGTTCCTTAAACCCCATCCACCTTACACGTTCACGAAACCTGCCCGCATTCTTTTTTTTTTTTTTTTGTAAGTTTATAGGAGATGTAAAACTGTCGCAGGGGTTTAGATCTAACATTAGTAAGAAAGTGAATGAAACCAATACTAACATTATTCGGCTGAAAGCTTATGATTATCATATTCTTGTGCAACGTTTATACCCATTGGAGTTAAAGGGATTTTGGGCAATGGTGTTTATACACCAATAGTAGAGCTTTATATGTTTTTTAAGCAACTTTGCTCATGAATGCTATCAGTGAAGGGTATAAAGAATCAAAAGCATCCATTATTAAAATATTATGCAAATTAGAAGTGATCTATCCTCCTGCGTTTTTTGACATTATGGTTCTTTAGTTTTGCATTTACCTGATGAAGCTATTTGCGGAGGCCTAGTATGTATGAGATGGATGTACCCCTTCGAAAGGTGTATAAAAAAACTAAAAAACTATGTCAGAAACAAGGCGAGGCCGGAAGGTTCTATAGCTGAAGGTTATGTCGCTGAAGAAACATTATCATTTTGTTCGATGTACCTTGAAGATGTTGAGACTCGTGCAAAGAAAATGAAAAAACCTCAATCTAGAGGAGAGAAAACGTCTACAATGGTTTGTGTTTGATATTTGTGACGAAGTCAGAAAGTATATTGCTTAAGTGTTGTTATCTTTTAATTCATTGTCTGTTTCTAATTTCTCATTTTTCACTAAATCTATATATTTTTTCATTAATGTAATGAATTCAAATCATTACATCCTGAAAGTGATGAAAAAACTAAATTCCCTAAATGGTTCCTTCACAAGGTTTATGATATGCAAAAAAAAAATCTCCAGAGTTTACCAAAGAGTTATCGACTCTTTCAACTGGTGCGCATATGAATGCCTTTATTTATATCGCCTGCATAGTGAATGATGTTAGGTTTATGGTATTTATGTATGACGCCCAATGATCAACACAAAACTCGAGGGTTCTAACTGAGTGAGAGAATAAGCAGAAATATTATGGTTAGCTAGAAGAGATTATCGAGTTGTATTATCCTCATAAACATCCGAATGTACTTTTTTGTTGCAAGTGGTTCGATACTATAGGAGTTAAATCTAATAATATTTCACTAGTATCGACCCACAATGCGAATTGAGCAGCACAGATCAACTCATATTTTATACGCAGTTTAAGCAAGTATTTTACATCCAATAACCTTCTCGAAGTGAAGAAAATGACAACCAACGGTGGGTTGTTGAAAATGTTAATCATAGAAAAATTTGGGATCTAACAATGAACAATGTCGACCATGATCCCATTGAAAATGTCGACAATGATTCAACCGATGTTCTTAGTAATGCTTCTTCTAATTTCACTCTTTCAATCGACTTTAGCTAGTACTTTCAAAATTCTCAATCAGTTGAAGATGATATTGAAGTTGGTCCACCAACAGGTATCATAAATAATGTGTCTGAATGCGAGATTGATTATGATTATGAGGATTCCGATCATGATAGTGATGTGTCAGCAGACACTAAAGTGTCTGAGGGTGAGAATGATTAAAAAAATCTTTAAATTTGACTAGTAAAATAAGGTTTGTATTTTTTGAAATCATATCATATTATATATATATATATATATATATATATATATATATATATATATTCATATTCTATTATAATTTTTCAGGATGTCATTTTTTGGATTGCATTGCTCCATCTCATGGCTACTGTGATGGGCCATGGACGTGACGGTGGTGACGAGCCACCACATCCGTTTGGTGGAGGTTTTGGTGATCACCAGATCGATAGTAATTAAGATTTATTCTAATTAGTTATACTTCATATTGTATGTATATAAAAAAATTATCTTGACTAACATTTTTTTATGCAGCGGTGCCTCCAAAACGAAGATGCATGGCAGTAAACAAAAAAAATATATAAGTTATTTGCAGCTAATGGAAAACGGCCTATGAAGATACCATTTAACATAAATACTCACATGGCGATTGGGGAAGTAACGAATGTTTCATTCAGGAGGTTGGGAACTATATGTGGCGTGACATCAGTTTCGATAAGGACACATGGACAGACGTGTCTGGAACCGAAAGGGTTGGCATGTTCGAGTATCTTTCGGTAATTATTTATAAAGTTATATATTTAATATGTTCAACTTTGATTTATTTTTAATTTCTCTATTTTTTGTAGACATGGTTTGGTTTTGGAAAGACTACAAATGATCCCATGGCTTCAGCTTATTGGGCGTCATTGAACAATCGGATATGTGCACGATATAGAGGCCGCAAAAATGTTACAAAAACTCGTTTGACTGGTTTTAAGGGTGATGTGGAGGTAGCAAGGGCTCAAGCCTCTGCCGGTATAGATCTTTAGCATTTGAATTCTATTATTGACCACTTCTTAACAGAAAAACATTAAAAAAAAAAAACGATCTGTTGGAAACAAAGAATGCCAGAAGAAGCAAGTAGTTAAGAATTGTGGAGGGACGTGCAGCTACAGTAGTGCTTGTTTTAAGAACGTAAGTTACAATAACGATTATTCATTTATAAAATATTTTTTAATGTTTATTCAAATATAACATATGTTGTAATGCTAAACAGAATTTGAATAGATTTGAAGCATTTCATCATGGCAGGTGAATAAAAAGGGTAATTTGTTGATCCTTTGGTTGAAGACCAATATGTAAGTTATTATCACTTACAAATGAAGTATATTGTTTTTTTGTGTTAGTTTTAACATATATTGACAATCTTTGAGAAACACAGAATACCATAGTTGTTGAGGTTGCTCTATGGACTCATCACATAGCCGACTTCGGTGGTGATCCAGACATCATTGATTGGATCACAATATTTGAGAAGGTGTTGGGTGCTCAAAGGGAGCATGTGAGAGGCGTTTGAGCCTAAACCTTCTTCAACAACGGGTACAAGTGCTCCATCCCAATGACAGTCACAGTCACTAGCACCACAACTAGCACAAGTACTTGTTAAATCTTAAAGAATTTGGTAGCTTTGCTATATTGTTAAGAACTTGATGCATTTATAACAATTTTTTGTAGTTTGGTAGTTTGTTAAATTGTTAAATACTTAATTGATTTGGTGTTTTAATAGTTTTTTTAAACTGTTACCAACTTAATTCATTTGGTGGTTTGATGGTTTGATAGTTTATTAAATTGTTACTGACTTAATGTGCTTGTGAGTTAATCGTAGGATGTTGATGTGAATGTTTTTCTTCAAAACACGGTGTTTGTGACGGCCATTGGAGACATTATCCGCTAGTTTAAAAACAAAGTCAACAACGAGGAAAACAATGGTGAAGACACAGACACATAATATTTCTTGTTTTTATGTTTTGGATGATGTTATTTTAGATTTATGAGATAGTTTATGGATAATATATTAGATGTTTATTTGGGATTTATTAGATAGTTTATGTAATATGGTATATTTGATGTTTTATGTAGTGTGGTATGTATTTTTTTAAAGTTGCATTTTATAATATATACAAACTAATTTCTTAAATAAATTGTTTTTTCAAAATAAAAAAAAAAAAAAACAATTAGCAGCGACACCTTTAGGGACGACATTGATCAATTGCGATGACAGTTGATTCCGAGAAGAGTAGCCGGAAAAACTCTGACCGGTGGCTGGAATATCAATACAGATGATGCCAATAGCAACAACAGTGACCATTTTGCAACGACGAGTATTAGAGACGATACTATTTGCGACGACAAACGAGTATTAGCGACGGTTTTTTGTCGTCGCTAAAGGTTACAGTTTTTGTTGTGTATTATGAGTTTTTTTCTCTAAACTTCTCAAATCACATGGATCTGGTATCTATTCCCACACCCTTTTGGTACAAGTAACAAAACACAAAATACAAGATGAGGAAGGAGAGAGAGGTATATGAATCACAAGAAAGGGAAGTTTCATGGCATGCGGTACCGCACACCCGAGTTCGCGTCCCCTTGCAGTAGCATGATTTTGGCATGCTCTTTACAATACATCCTCACCAGGTAAAAGGGTTGGTGTTTCCACATAGTCTCGAAGTCATAGAAGTTTGTAGTCATATAGCCTAAGGACATAAAATAAAGTTTAAAGTTAGGACAATCACAGTCATGTACAAAAAAATATTTTTAGGTCAGCAGCTTTTGATAAAATCCCATCTATCAAAGACGACTCCTTCCCATTTTTTCAATCAAAGCTCTTTGATAACCTGCAAATTAATTTGATAGTGTAGTAACAACTTGAGAACAGGAAGGATGTAGAGATCTGATAAGATGAGATTTATATCAGAGACTATGTTCGTTTAGAGGCGGTGTCGAATAGTTGGAGACGAAAGTAGGCGGAGCAGCAAATCTGAGATGATCTAGTGGGATTAGAGATGATGGTGGTGTAGATCTCAGACGATCCATTTGTTCCCAGTGTAGATCACAGATGTTCTATTTGTTCTCAATGTAGATCTATGTCCATGATTATGCACAGGTGGGGAGTTTGCAGTGATGGTGAGCAGGGCAGCAAGCAACGACAACGGTGGTTTGTGGTGGCGACAATGATGGTATTCTATGTGTGTGTTTGTAGCTCCAACGACGATGGAGTGTATGTGGTGACGCCAATGGTATTCTCTTACCAGATATGGATAAGAACCTGAGAGTGAAAGTACCTCAATACTTGCGAGGAAGAGGGGTAGTGATTTAGATTCTTAAAAGAAAAGAGATGAAGAGGGAAAAAGCATGATTTATAGCAGATATGAAGAAGTGTGTATATGAGAATGGGCCCAATCATTTTTTTTAAATATAATTGATAATAATAACAGTCTAAAAATAAATAAAAAATGAATAGAAAATTGTAAAATAGACACTTTATGTTTGGTAAATGATTTTAGAGATAAAACATGCAAATTTTAACGATATGAGGGACGATCCGAGTTAATTTTTGAAAATAGAGACTAAACGTGTTTTTTGACATTTGCATGGGGGACGAATCATGTAATTTACTCAAAAATGAAAGGTGTACAAGAGTGTCCAATGGTCGCTACCAAATACACTAAAAGGTAACATTCTATACATGTTAACATAATGCATATTTTTTTATTAAATAATAATAAATAATGGAAGGAGTGTTTAAAAATTGGAGCTAAAACAAGAAACATAAAAAGGGATCGAATTTCAAAACCATAATTAATTAAAGAGATTTGGCTCCATGTTCCTAACTACACTACTAGAAATATTAGTATTAACGGCGATGTCTTTAGCGACAACGGTCACTATTAGCGACGATAACCAACATTCGCATTGGTTGTCACCGCTAATAGTGGTTGTCGCCGCAAATACTCTTTGACCACGATCCGCGTGAAAGTCTAAGATTACTCCATATTCGTTGATCTTGTTGCAAATCCAATGACTTGAACCTCGTTTCGAACATCATTGATAGCGGCCACACCAATGGCGTTGTCGATGTCGCGCTAATACCCTAAAAAAATGGCGCCAAAACTTCCCTCCAAGAACGTGCCGCTGCTATGAAGAAAGAGTCGCCACTAATATTCTATCGTCGACACTAATACTCTGAAAGATTAATACCTCTAGTTTCTTTCATCTTTTTTATGTGTTCCCTCCCATCCTCCACCACCAATTCTCTGCTGCAAATCGCTCAATTTCTTCGATTTCGCTGGAAAAATTACCACAAAAAACCCCAAACATCCCCATCACTGGTGATAGGCGACTCCCATCACCGGCGACGTCCACTGGTTTGCAATGATTCTTCCTTCTTCTTCTTTTTTTTTCTGTCGTTTTTTTTCTCTTCTTTTACTTTTCTATTCTCCCCACTGAAACTCGAATTTTAGTGATTCTTTACCGGAATTTCCAACTTTAGTCTTAGAATTTGGAGCTCCTACCGGAAAAGATTTGGAACATCACCTATCTGCCGAAATTCTTGCCGAAATTGTGGCACCCTCGCCGAAAAACTTTGAAATTAACTCACAATAGGTTCCTTTCATCTGTTTATCTTTCATTTTGTATGTGAAATGTTTATATTATGTATATATGATATGTATTTGTATGTGTATGATGTATGTGGTTTTCCATGTGTCTTTGTATGTGTATCATTTATGTATGTGTATGACTTTTGAAATTATATATGTAATTTGTATATATGGAAAAAATGAAAAAAAAAGTAGGTTACTATAATTGAAAAAAAGTATGATGCTATAATGATTATGTCATATATGTAGGAAGCATGTTTAAGTGTATTTGTGTGTACAATGTGTGTATTTATGTATGTTTAATTGTATTTGTCTATATTGTAATGTGTATGATATATGACACAATAATGAATATGTAATATGTGTAGGAATCAATTTTAAGTGTATTTATGTAGAAAATACTACAATATAATGGAAAAAAAATGAAAAACATTGTTATGTATTTATATGCAACTTGGAAGATACAATGTTATAATTGAAAAAAAAAAGTTTGTATACTTGTATGCAACTTGGAAAATACAATGCTATAATTGAAAAAAAAAATGTGTATATGTATGCAACTTGGAAAGTACAATGCTATAATGGAACAAAAATGAAAAAAAATAGTTTGTACTTTACAACTCTTTTTTCATTTTTTCCATTATAGCATTGTACTTTCCAAATTACATATAAATAAACAAACTTTTTTCATTTTTTTTCCATTATAGCATTGTACTTCCCAAAAGTACAATACTCAAATAGAAAAAAAAAACAATATAATATTTAAAACACAATGTTATTAAATAACAAAAATATTGTAAAGTACAACACTATAACAGAATAAAATATGATATCATAAATAAAAAAAATATATTCAAAAGTACAATGCTTAAATAGAATAAAGAATATAATATTTAAAGTACAATGTTATTGTAGAAAACTTAAAACAAAATCGTATGCCATAAATAACAAAAATATACAAAGTAAGATGCTATAAATGACAAAAAATTTCATCCAATTTCTATTCGTTTGCGTGTCCTCTTTGTAATCATCATAAGCTTAGAAATATCCGTTCGGAATTAATTTAGAAATTAATTTTGGGTTGTCCTTTTTGGTTACTGCTTTTTGAATACTTTATCTTTTTTAGGATGAACGTGTATTACATAATTGTTTGTTTAAAAAAGTTTTGGTTGTCATTTTCTCTTTGTTCCTCGAGTGTGTGTGTGTATATATATATATATATATATATATATATATATATATATATATATATATATATAGACACACACACACACACTTGGGAGCTAAAGGGAAATACTGCTGGATTTTTCTTAAACATACAATCATTTAATACACATTCACATATGAGATAAGGTATTCGAAAACTGGGTTTATAAGCCTACCTTTGTGAATACTCTATCCGTTTCTGATTATTTGTTCTTATGTTCCCTTGTTGGGGTTACTTTTTGAAACATCGACTTTATGAATACTCTACTTGATTTTATTTCCCGTAAAGTAAACCTTAAACACTAAACTATGTTTTTGTTGTATCATGTCTATTGATAAAAGTTGGACTACTAATCCACATCATCAATCTGAGTTCCAGCTAGGACTCGACTCTTTTGTTAAAAGTTCCATGTCAGAACTAGATAGTAAAGGTGAAACAAGATGTCTGTGTGAGCAATGTGATAACCGTTACTTACTGGATCTGAAGTCAATGAAACGTCATGTTCGTATATATGGTTTCATTAGGTCATATGAAACATGGATATATCATGGTGAATCGTTAATTCCTCTAGTTGTAGATGTCGTAGAGCCAAGTAACGAGACGACTAATGTTATTAACGATCTTATGTAGGAGTCGAGAGAAAATGAAACCAACCTTGATGAAGGAACCTTAAATACAAGGGGTAGCGGTGTCGATGATGATTTTAAATAGTTGTTAGAAGCATTCAAAACCAACTTATATCCTAGTTGTACATTTTCTTTCCTTGATAGTTTAGCAAAGCTCGTGCATATCAAGGTCAACAACAAATGGACTGACCCTTGGTCATCAGAGCTTCATCGTCACCTTTGTTGACAATTATTGTGAACGGGCTACGGAAAAATTTGTAAATGTCTCCTGATCGACTCCAAAAAAAATGTCATCACTGTCTTCAGAAGGAGGAGCAGTAGAGGTGCCCAATTCGGAAGTCACACCGGTGGTGACATTTTTCCCCACATTAGATGTGTTGACATGAATGTCTGAAGTATGTACCTCCTCCAAAACATATTTGTATTCAGGGATTTCCGATGTACTTGTGACTAATGATATAGT